TCTTTCAGGTACTATATAGGTCATTTAATTCATCTTGGCTTCCTGAATTCAAATTTAATTCATAATTATACATGTACTGTGCACAACGAACTCTATTTGAAGTCTTGTATTAATATATTATTCAGGCAAAATATTATACGTCCTACTAAAAAGAAAAACAGAGAAACGGTTGCTCCTGTAATTTCTCAAGCTATCGAGCAATAACTATGCATTGTAGATCTCTAAAACTGCTTGTTAAACCAAAAGGCAATGCTCTGATTATTGGAGAAATCCAGATTGTCACGATCAGCAAAACTACATTACAAAGTTAATAGCCTCCGTCCTTAAGCCCAAGAGAAGAAGTGATTCAAACTGTTAGCATGCGCCCAATGATACTACACAGCAAAACTGTCAGATGCATTTGTAATTAAGAGGCCCAACCTTGATAAAGCATCATCAGTGAATTTTCAACCAACCGGGCGGAAGGACTCAGATACAAAAGCCCAGCACTGTAAGCACAAACTGCTCACGCGGTGAAGGATCTGGGAGGGCAGTAAGGTTCTTTCCTTCAGCCAGTGAGCATCCACTTTGGGATGCACAAGGCAATTTAAAGGTGAGAATGAATGACGTACGCTTCCGATAGGGGCTGCTCACAAGAGCACAATACACTGTAACAAATAAGTGCTCGTAGAAATCCACTGAGAAATGACACTAGGGTAAATAAAGAACTCGGGGAAACCGGGAAAGTTCCAACCCGAAGATCTTCAGCGCACATCCGCGCCGGCCTTTAAAAAAAGTTGACAAACTGGGGAGGGGGGGGTGTCAATGCTGGAGAGGAATATCTCTCCCATGGATCCCCGGTCGCTCGACAATCACGCACCAAGCAGAGAACGGCACAGCGGAGCCGGAGCAGCCTTGCTCCTGCACCAGCGGGCGCGAGCGATCCGTGACCAGTCTGCGGAGCTGCCGGCTCTGCTGCTCTAGCTGGCCAGGCGCCGGAAAGTTGCTCCAACACAACTCCGCGGCCTGGGAGCTGCGGTCCCTGCAGCGCCGGCGGCCGAGGGAGGGCACGTCGGCGAAGCGGAGGACGCGAGGGTCACCCCGCCGCGGACGGGCGAGGGTTCGGGATCCGGGCCGGCCTCCGCGCCCCCTCACCGCCACGGAGACCCCGCGCTCGGACGCCGCAGAGCCCTCCGCCCGGCACGCTTCCCTCAGCCGCCCACCGGCCTCCCTGGAACACAGCCCGGGCCCTGCGGCTCCACCCGCCGCCAGGCCGCAGCCCCGCGCCCCAGCCCGCCTCACCTGCGCCGGGCAGTACGCGCCTCTTCGTCCGCCCCGCGCGCCCCGTCGGGGCACGAGCCGACCCCGGGCAGCGCTGTCCGGGCCGCGGTGACTCGGGCCGCCAGGGCCCCGCCGCCGCGTTCTCCACAGACAAGCCCCAGCGGCAAGCGGAGAAGCGCGGCCAGAGCCCCCGCTGGGGGCACAGGGAAGCTCGCCGCCTCCGCAGCCGCCGCCACCAATTCCCTTCAGTCGTCCGCGCCGCCCCAAGAAAATGTCACCAGAGGCCGTTCCGCTCTGCGCCTCACTTCCGCCCGGAACCACAGAGCCGAACCCGCCGGCTAGAGCGGCCACCGCGGTGGCTGGGGCTGGCGGTGACTGGCGCGCGGCCCGGAGCCAGCTACGCAGTGCCATCTGGCGGCGGGGACCCTGTGCGCCCCTGAGCGAGCGAGACGGCTTCCCGGGCTTTCAAGCGCGCCCTCCTCCGGTTCCCGGAGCCTCCTTCCAGAAACATCTGTGCCCGAGGGCCGAGACGCAAACCAAGGACAGCACCTTCAAAGGACGGAGCTGCCCTTCCCGAGCGCTGCCCAGGACTCACCCGCTCGCGAAGCCTTCCCGGAGTAAGCTCGAGAGTCCTGGAGTCACTCGGACAAGGAGTCCGCTTCCTTCTCTTTCCACTCCCGCGGGAGCCACCAGCTGGGCTCCCGGAGACCGCTCCTCTCCAACGGTGGCACCAACGTCCTGTTCAAGTTTCGGCTCTGAACGCCTCCCGGCTTGCGGCTAGCGCACCACCTGCTGGCGAGACCGAGTTCCTGGGGACCCCGCTCCGCCCCTGCACGCCTCCGACGCCCCAAATTCCACCCCTGCAGAGTCACTTGAGTTAGCAGCTCGCCTGGGAAGGGTGACACACCGCTATGAGTTTCGCAGGCCCATCCTTGAGATGGGCGAGGGGCGGAGCTGGACTTGGGGCTGGACAAAAGTGGGGTGAGCCCAGGCCTCCTTGCAGGATCCCTAAATTCGGTGCGGGCGGGGGGGGGGAGGGGTAGAAAGGGTTTAAGAAGAAAACGCTAGAGATCGTCATCTGTTTCTTAAATAGTGGGGATTGAACCTAGGGCCCTGCAGATGCCAGGCAAGTGCTCCTCACTGTGCTACCTCCCCAGCCCTCTTTGTACTTTTGAGACAGGGTCTCACTGCAGGCTGACCGTTAACAAGGTATTTACCTTTTAAAGAGCGGTTCTGCTTTTGGTGGCAGAGTGAGGAAATGATGCGCACACGCAATGGGAAGGAAAAAAAGGAAGAACAAATCGGCCTCAGACAAATGGCTGAAGGGTAGAATGTATTTGGTGTCGGCCACATCTTTGCGTCCTTCAGTGATACCTTTGTGCATGTCACTGAGCTTTTGGCAGAGAAACCAGCTGCCAAGGGACTGGTGGAAGGAAGATGAAGCTGACCCAGATGAGTCCTCCCCGTACACTGTCATGTTGGCTGCCCAGGATGCAGCCTCACCACCTTGCATACCAAACTCCAGGCCACAGGAGAGCACAGGACCAAGCCCCTTAACCTGGAGCCCAGTCAGCCTTCAGAGTGCCTACTTGCTTAGGTTATCACCACATCCCCTCTGACAGCCGCTGCAGGAAGAGGAGTGGTCGCCATCTATAAATAGGATTTCAGATTATTTTCTGTTAATAGCATTTGTGTAAGAAGAAAAAAAATAGAGCTGTTCTGGAATCATGGGCAAGATGCTGCCAAAGGAGATCCTGAAAAATCCCACAGTACTGAGTCACTCCTCCATCAACCTTAGTTTAGGCCATGTCCTTCTGCTCAACACTTCACATGGGATTTTATTATTATTATCATCAATGTGTGTGCAGGTGAGGTCAGAAGACAACCCTTGAGAATTGGTTCTCTCCCACAGTGGAGTCTGGGGATCGAACGCGGGTAGACAGACTTTCAAGGCAAGCACCTTTACCTGCTGAACCATCTTACCAGCCCTCATATAGAACTTTTTAAAGTATTTTGTTGACATAATTACCATCTAAGGGGTACAGTATGCCATTTCAAAACGTACATATCATTATTATATGAGCATAACTGGCATACCCATCACCTCATACATTTATTTCTTTGTATTGAGAACATTCTAAATCTCCACTATTTTGAAATAGTCAATTAATTGTTGTCAACCATAATTATCCTACCCTGCTGCTATAGAAGAGTAAAAGTTATCCTATCCATGGGGCTGGAGAGATGGCTCAGCAGTTAAGCACACTGGCTGCTCTTGCAGAGGACCTAGGTTCAGTACCCAGCACCCACATGGCAGCTGACAACCATCAGTAACTCCAGTTCCAGGGGATCCGAATTCTTCTGACCTCCATAGGCATTGCATGGCACAGGTGCACATACATGGGTGCATTTACACATATGCAAACAGTACACGTATACACATAAGAAATACTAAAATAGGGCAGAGGCAGGTGGATCTCTATGAGTTCAAGGCCAGCCTGGTCTACATAGTGAGTTCCAGGCCAGCTGGGGCTACAGGGAGACGCTGTATCAAAAAGATCCCCCCTAGACAACCTGCCAGCCTCTCTCCTGGGGTTTGTACTGAGTCCAATATTGTGTGGCTGTGTTGATTCAACAGTGAACCTAGGGATTTTATGGCCACTTTTGGGGGAGATATATCTTTGCTCTGGAGACTTGTTGACTATGTTGAGGCTGTGGTGAAATGCTTCTTCTAAAAAAATAAAAAATGGGCCGGGCATGGTGGCGCACGCCTTTAATCCCAGCACTCGTGAGGCAGAGGCAGGTGAATCTCTATGAGTTCAAGGCCATCCTGGTCTACATAGTGAGCTCCAGGACAGTTGGGGCTACAGGGAGACCCTGTCTCAAAAAGACCAAAAATAAATAAATAAAATAAAAATATATATAATAAAAAAGACCCCCTAAAAAACTAAACTATTTTCTTAAAAATTAAAAATAAATAAATACAAAAACTATCCTATTGTGCACCCCTATGAAATCAACTTTTTTAGGGGGTTGGGGACAGCAGTTTATTTGCAAGCAAACAAACCACTGGGCTGCCTCTTGGGAAGCAGAGAAACAGCAGCAAGCAGGGGCAGTCACACATCTTTCATAGGCAGTTAGGTGCTTGGGCAACTTTCCATGATGTGGCCTGGGCAGTTTAGCTCAGGATTGGTTGTTCTCCCAATAAGCAGAAGGACTTGCCAAAATCAACTTTTTAACTTCTTTTAAAAAAATTTTTGGTGATGTGATTTTAGTTTTTCAATATTTTATTTATTTTATTTTATGTGTATGAGTGTATTGCCTGCATGTGTGTAGGTGCACCTGTGTCATGCAACACCTGAGGAAAACAGAAGAGGGTGTCAGATCCCCTGGAACTGGAGTTGCAGATGGTTATTAGTGCCCATGTGGGTGCCAGGAACTGAAAGGAGGTCCTCTGCAAGAGCAGCCTGTGATTGTAACCTCTCTCCAACCCAACTTTTTTTTTTTTTTTTTTTTTTTTTTTGGGAAAGGGGCCCCCTGTAGCCCCAGCTGTCTTGGAACTCACTATGTAGACCAGGCTGGCCTCGAACTCACAAAGATCGGCCTGCCTCTGCCTCCCAAGTGCTGGGATTAAAGGCGTGTGCCACCATGCCCAGCTCAACCCAACTTTTTAACTAATACCTATGTTGTAGTATCAGTTTTTCCTCCAGCCAAAATATGACCATTTCATGGCCATCTTGGAGCAGAGATAATGTGGGCCTGCACTCTGACAATGAAATAAAACAACAGTGATAACTAGGTCTATAGAAATGCTAACAGGTCTGCTAAGACTCCCTAATAGAAGTGGGGGGAGGTCACAGAACCCTAACAGGGTTCCAGCCATTACTCCCTCCTGCAGTTAGTTACCACGTGACCTTTGGAGGGGCTAGGATATAGGAAGTGGACAGTTAACTGAAGACAGAACTCCAGGAAATGGCTTCCCTGAAGCTGTCCCTGGTGATGAGGTGTAGAAACTTTCAGGGATGAGGCTGTTTTTAGTCACCTGAGCTCCTGTAAGTAACCCCTCACCTGTGCTCCTGTTTCAGTTTAGCCCAAGGAACTCACTGCTTCACCAAGTTGTACCTGGGTGCAATTGTGCTTTAATTTGTCCTGGGTGTCCTATCGGGTAAAGAGACTTTTTTTTCACATCTCCACAGAAGTTAATGCAACAACATATAAATGAGAACATGCAACATAGCTGCAGTTGTCCTTCAGTGCCTGACATCCTCCACTTCACACATTGCCCTTGGTCCCATCCAGGTTACAACAAATGGTGGAATTTCATTGTTATGGCTGGATACTGTTCTCTATGTATGTGGACTACATATATATTTTGTGAATGGGGCTACAATAAACCTGGAAGTGAAACAATTTCTTTGATCTACTGATAACATTTCCTTTTTATATATACCTGTATATTCATTTTTGCTAGGCACAAGAGTTTCCAGTCCTAAATAAAGTGAGAAAATGAGGTAATGGCTTTTACTGAATACTTACTATTAGAAACAATATTGTCTATTGAAATGGATTCATTCATTCATTTGATCCTCACAGTAGCTCTGTAGGTTGGGTGGTATTTTTAATCTCTGTCAAAGGCATAAAGCAGTGGACTCTAGGGAAATGCTGAGCCTTTGCACTATGCTCCATGTAGCCTCAGACAAGTGACAGCTTCCAGGGTTAACTTACTTGCCCTACCTTGCAGTGTCCTCCACCAGAATCAAGTTGCGTCCTCATATGGAAGACCATCTAGAAGGAAGCAAAGTACTCAAAATAGTGGCAGGTTGGCAGAGGGTTGTCAGGATCAGGCACTCCGGAGTCACACAGATCTGAATTTGGACCTCATTCTGCCTCACTCTAGCTGAGTGACCTTGAAGCGACTATGTGTTCTCACTGAACCTTTTTGTCCAAAGGATGTCCCCCTGGTGCTCTGGGGGGGCGAAGATGAGATGAGCAATGTATACAAAGCTCCCTGCACAGTCCTTGACTCAGAGAAAACCCTTGAAAACAAGGCTATCCTCATGGCAGTGTCCCTAGCCACAACTTTAGAATCCCAAGGTACACAGAGGCACAATACTTCAGTAACAGTGACATTGCCATCTCAACAGGATTCTTTTTTTTCAGAACAGTATGTTCACATGGAATGACAGAATGGAACAGTGCAGAAAGATGTCATGAAAGAAGAGCCAGCAGGTAGCCAAGAGTGGCTGGGAAGGGCATTTCCTCAGTACCATGTGCCTTCTGGGCTGGATGGTCAACTTTCCTCAGAGTGAAGTGCTCAGGGA